CTGTTTTAATTCACATCTCGTTTTTATGTAATAACTTTACTAATCGTGTTTTCATATTGCAACTTATTGGCTACAATCATGATGAAATTTTTGCATGCAGAATATTAGTCACACAAAAGTTTTGCACTGATTAGTGAGAAGCCTTGGTTGAGAAACGTTAGCGGAATTCTGCAAGTTGTGTTTATGACTGTTATCTGTTTTTATTCGTGTTGTGAACTTTCTTTGGGTGCTGCACTGGGAGAGAAGTGGAATATCATATAAAAAAGCAAATAAATGAAATAAAAAAAACAGGTTGGGAGAAACAGAGGACATTACTATAGAATATGACTTGGGTATATTGAGGGACGTGGTGGCGCTGTGGGCTAAGCCGCAGAAGCCTGTGCTGTAGGGTCAGAAGACCAAGCAGTCGTAAGATCAAATCCACGCAACGGAGTGAGCGCTCGTCGCTTGTCCCAGCTCCTGCCAACCTAGCGGTTCGAAAGCATGCAAATGCAAGTAGATAGATAGGGACCACCTCGGTGGGAAGGTAACAGCGTTCTGTGTCTAAGTCGCACTGGCCATGTGACCACAGAAGATTGTCTTCGGACAAAACACTGGCTCTATGGCTTGGAAACGGGGATGAGCACCGCCCCCTAGAGTCAAACACGACTGGACAAAAATTGTCAAGGGGAACCTTTACCTTTACCTTATGACTTGGGTATAACAGATTCTTACTGATTGATTTGATGTGTTTGAAATGTGGTGCTTGAAGAAAGCTTTGTGAATACCCTGGACTGCAAGAAAGACAAACAAGTGGGTCTTAGATCAAATCAAGCCTGAACTCTGTCCTCTGAAGATGCCGGCCACAGAGACTGGTGAAATGTTAGAAAGAACAACCTTCAGAACACGGCCAAAGAGCCCGAAAACCCACAACAACCACAAGCCTGAACTATCTTGGAAGGCAAAGATGCTGAAGCTGAGGCTGTCCTACTCTGGGTACATCCTAAGAAGGCAGGATTCTCTGGAAAAGGTGAATAATGCTTGGAAAGATGGAAGGCAGCAGGAAAAGAGGAACACCCTAAATGAAATCACAGCCTTGAGTTTACAAGAGCTGAGCATGGGAATTGAAGACAGGGCACCTTGGAGATTACTCATTCATATGGATATCATGGGTCAGAGGCAACTTGATGGCGCATAACAACAGCAGTACTACAGTATTAAATGGCCAAAATGCCCAAGGAATATATGAGCTACCATTAGTGCGGAATTTAGAACCTTTTCAGCATGTCAATATTGAAATTACTTAGGATTTATCTCCTCCTGGCCTTACTTGCCAGCATTATGGCTACATTCCTAGGCTGAAGGAAGTATGGATTTAGAGGATTTCATCCCTTCCCTGCCTCTGTTTTGGCTCTTCTGTCATCAGATCTATGTTGGGAGAGCACTTCTGCCACTAGAACCCTCAGATGAGCTTGCAGAAGAGGGCTGGACTGACAGTGACAATATGTCATTCCTTCTGGCATAAAGAGATTGTGCCTCATCCTCACAACCCTATGACCAGCATATCTTCCTTCAAGCCTTTTTCTTGAAAGATTCTCTCTCCTTAGCATTTCTGTGAGCTGCTGGAAATGGGGAAGAATTCAATTTCAATTTTACAAGGAAAAAAAAACCCAGAAATTTTCAGATGTCTTTACATTTGGAATAGACAGAACTTTAGATTTTCTTTTGAAACCTAAACATTTAAATGCAAGAAAAGGCTGACTTGACAGGCTTTCACTCCCTATTATGCAGCAAAATGTTTCTTCAAACACTGAAAAGTTTTCTTTGTTCACTGTGATTGCTGTTTCTTTATCGTCAGTCACTCAACAGTTTATTTATTGATTTAAAATATTTCTATGCCACATTTCTCCCCAAAAGAAAAAAAATCTGCATTGAAGTAATATTCAAATTAGAGTTCATTATGTGTCATTATGTGTATTGATACATCACAACTTTGAAGGACATGATAAAAATGGAACTGTCTTATTTCACTTGCAAGTTCTTTACCTCTGCCTATCTGCCAAATGTTTAAATAGTAACATCTATCACAGTTTTTCTGTAATGTACAATACACCTAACTGAGCATTTTCTAGGTGTAGAAATGACTGGCAACAGCAAATTGTGTTACATGTCACCAGCCATTTTGATGGCATGACCAAATATCTATCAGAACTTTACTTGAAAAACATTCAACTGATGGTGGTAGTGGTGATGATGATGATGATTTACTCTGACCCAAAGCACTTTGCAAAACCATTCCCAGACGTGAAAGGCTCAGTGCATTAACCTTACTGGAAACGCCTGGCCGTCTGCCATCTGCTTTTACAGTACAAGCAATTGGTAGAATTGCTATAGTCATAGGAGTGCCTAAAATGAGACAAACAGACGAGACCATGTTATTTCCTACACATCTGCTTTGCCTTATGAAATGGGCCTTTCAAGAAGATTACAGAGAAGAAAATAAATGGAACTTTAGTGTTCACAGTTAATCTCTTGATGCACAGCATAGCAGACAGAGGTCAGAACCTCAGCAGCATGTATGAGTTTCTAGTCTTCATGTGGTTACTTTATTAACATTACTGATTTTTCACTACTACTGTGATATTTGCTTTGTTTTATTTAGGTACTTACTATCTCACTCTTCAGCACAGCAGTACCCACCTTTAAAGGTTCCAAAATTGCTAGGAATTCCCCTAGCCAGAAATTTTGGAACTGTTGCCAAGAAAAGTTCCTACAGGAGTTTTTAATCAGCATTAAGTACTAACAGGAGTTTTCAGTCAGCTCCATGTGGCCCTTGCCTCAGAGCTGAAAAGTTGTTCGGATGGGCTAAATGCCAGAGGAACTGCAAGGCATTATAAGATTGGTAGTCTCCCAGCCCATCCAGCTGCCTTTCTAAGTCCCATAACACCCTGCAGTTCCTCAGGAGCTTAACCTCTCTCAACAGCTTCCCTGGTCTTCATAGCAACATCATGACTCCAAGAGAGGTCCTGACTGGAAATTCCTGTAAGTACTTGTGCCTGGTTAAAACCTCCTGTATGTATGTTAACATTTTGGCTACAGTTCTCAGAATTCTGGATGGGGGAATTCCTAGTGAATGTTGTGATATGTAGTCAAAAAGATAATCAAAGTCCCATGTCTGGTACTCACATAAAGGTTAACAATGAAAACAGCAATGACCCTGCAGGGATGGTTCCCTCATCTCCACTTCCTTCTATGACCAGAAACATGCCACACATGATAAAAAAAATAATCCCAAAGTACTTACTACATATGCTAATAGAAAGAAACTACAAAAGCTGCACAAAGACTCAACAAGCAGTTTGGTAAACCAAATGAGATTAGCAAGGTCTGAGGCCTTGGAGGCTAAATTCTAGTTTTCACTGAGGGGTTGCATGGGGACGGGTGGGCATTTGATCAAACAGCCGTTTTCTTAAGGGATACAGAAACAAATCCAGGGCTTGGGGCCAAAAACTGCTTTTCCTGAAGGCATATTTTGGCTAAATACCTAATTTTGCCCTTTTCAAAAAACCTTGAGAGATTCTGGTTGGCCTGGAAGCTACAAAAATGTTCCTGAGAGTCACATTTTGCCTAATCAGATAAAGTTACAGAAGCCCTGTCCTCCCACCATCCTTCTCTCACTGTTCAAATGCCACTGCAATTAAGTAAAGATAGTACAAACAATCCAGAAGTCACATTTTATGACCCTTGTTTGTTTTCTACAAACATCAGAAGCATCTGCATTTGTGAAAAGATGTCATGACATGAATATGGATATGTATGCTTGCTTTATCGACTACAAGAGAGCCTCTGAGAAAGTCCAACATAGCAACCTAAGAACCTTGTTGGTAAATAAGGATCTTGAGGGAGTTTTTGATAAACAAAGATCAAGAGATATTTGTATAATTGGAAACCTGTCCTGCCAACACACAGCTGCATGGAAAACTGAAGATCAGATGACAAGGTGATTGATATACGCCTCTCCATCTCTCTAAGATGAATACTCTCACTACTGCTTTTCACTTGCTTCTAGGATAACATTTTTGAAAAATACTTGCGGGCATCAAATGATGGTATCATTGCCAATGGAGGGGTAATCTTTAAGAAACAAAATGCACAATATTATTAGCTGCCAGTTTAGATGGTCTACCAAAGTTATGCAATACAATGAAGTAGGCAATAAGCACAGTAAAAAACTAATAACTATTGATTGTTGTAATTCATAATTTGCAAGAAAATAAATGGGAACTGCACAAATTAGTATAACTTAAATGCTAAAAAAGACTGAAGGCTGGTTTGGCTATAGAAAACATCACTCTTTATCAAGATGTGAAACTTTGTGTGTAAAGAGGGCTAAAAAAATTAAGGTGTCCCAAAAACATATATCATGCTTTAAAAATTAGGTCTGAATTATGGTTTGCTAAAAGTCTAATTCAGAAACAAGGTCAATCAATGTACAGTATCAATGTCTTGCAAAAAAAATCTTCCATGGCGCGAAGTTGAACTTGTACACAATGATAAGGAAATGCAAAACAATTGAGGAGGAAAGATTCCTTGAGTCCTAAAGTGTGGATAGAATAAATTGGTACCTGACTGATTTAATTCACCAAGACTTTATGCCCACAGCATATTGCCTAAAAATGGTACCCAAACAACTTACTAGAGTATTTGTTCAGGAGCAGCATATTGCCTACCTGTTATAATGGTACCCAAACAACTTACTACAGTATTTGTTCAGGAGCAGGGATTTATTTACTCAAAGTAATAGCTGCTATCTTCTATAAGGGCAACTTGCCAACCTCCTAAGTTACAAGAGTCACTTTTTGCCATTCTGGTAATAGTAATAGAGATTTCCACTGAAAAAAATTCTGAATGTTTGTAAGGATCAATAAATTACTACACCAACAAAATCCAGAAACTTATTTCACTTTTGCCACAGGTGGAAAGAAGTATAACTTGTTTTTTGACTATCTATCCCTTTTTACCTCATAGAGTGTAATGATCCCATTTGTTTCATTTGGAGGCTTCCACTGAACATAGATCTTCTCTTCAAAGGGTCCTCCTTGAATGGACTCAAGGGGGACAGATCCAGGAACTAGGAAAAAAATGAAGACAGTTACAAAATCCTCCCTTTGCCTTGCCCTAAATATCTTATGCTTTACAGTTACCACAGCATACATGGGGGGAAGAAGGGGATGTTCAGAAGTCCCCGGGTTTTCCTCTTATACTGTATAGGATATTAAGAACAGCCACATCTGCATTCCAGTAGGCCCTGTCTTATGGGTGTGAGTATAATCATTAAAGGCATTGGAGACAATGACAGTAATACTGGCAGAGCTGATGTGAACATGCTTTCAAGTCTGAAATGATCACCTGCTTTATTTCCAAAGCAGTAAAACGGTCAGTAATCCGAGCTCATGAATAATTTCTGTGCTTTGAATTTGTGTCTAGCTTCACTTACTGGGCCACTGAGTTCAATTGAGGGATTTACAAATGTAATCAATATGTAGCCCTTATAGCCATGGAACAATGGTTCCTGGTTTCACTCGGCAGCATCAAAGAAGGAAAACTGTCTTGTATAGCTTAAGTTGTTGTAAGGCATATTTGCTAAAAATTAGGAACCAAAAAGCTCTGGACAAATCTTCCTTTAAACATCAAACTCACCAAATGGAGTCATAATGCACCCCATTGCCTTGTGTTAAAAACTATTGAACAGATATGAAAAACACAATTTACAGTTGATCAGAGATTGGAAGGCGAGTTATCATAAGAAAACTAATTTTAAAAGTGAGATCAGCAAATTTCCTCTCCTCTGCCAAAACCTGTTCAGACCATTGGTGAACATGTCAAACTCAGTCTTGTTCAAGTTCTCATTTTTCAGCTGTTGAACTCATTCTATCCCAGTTTCATATGAGACTGTGAATTAGCCACCCTCCTTTCTTTGATCCCGTGCAGAAATTTCTGTCCATTATGGTTCATAGTGTTCAAAATATGCACATTTTTACATCTGCATTTTCCAAGTGCAGCTATTTTGGTGAACATTTTTCATTAATTAATGTGAACTTTCTCCAATGTTTTTGAATTGCTTTATGTGTGCAAGAGAAGCTGAACACATCATAAACTTGGAAGAGGACAGACTTCTAATTTCAAATTGCACTGAGGCCTGAATGCACATTTTGCTGTTCATTTAGTTCCAGCAAGTGAGATCTGGATAATCACATTGGCTGAAATGCTGTTGGCATAATTATGGCTGCAGAAGAACAATTATATCACCAGTATGGAGTCAACATTTGGTAATTAGAAACTTCCTACTTCTGTCCCACAGCTATTCCAGCTCCTGTGCAATGCCTTTCATTCCATGGGAAACATGGCATGAAAGGAGGAAGCCTTACATTACCGAAAATCACTGCTGTCAAACAAAGTTACTAGCAGGGGGAGATTTTCAGTAATTAAACACTTCTGGTTTTTTTTCTGTCCTGTGATTCCCACAACAGCTATGCAATTAAAGCTATAGGAAGTAAGAAATATCTTAAAAAATATAAGAAAATTTTATTTACTAAAAGTTGCTCCCTACTGGTGAAACCACTCTTGCACAGGTATAATTTATGAAAGAATGAATGAATTTATTTATTATGGTCAGATAACCTGCTCATAATTTATGTAAGAGGATTTAAACCACTAAAATGAAAGCCCCACTAACTTCTCATGCATTCCTACACCTGATGCATGTTGACCCTACCAGAGCAGTGTAAGAAATTCTCCCCACAAAACTGTGTGGAACCAAATTTTGCCTTTGAAGGTGCATTATCTAGAACTTTTGTTTTTAAGTAACATATGAAGGAAGATGGTGGCAGAGTTTGTACTTGCAAACAAACTTTAACTACAGTGTCATCTCATTGTGTGTGTATGTGTGTGCACACTATGTACTGATTTTCATAATTGCAGTTTTCATTCATTTCTTACCATCTTCCTCAGTTTGAACCACCAGCTCCTCACTCTCCATTTTGCCTTCTGGGTTTGAAAGAGCCAGTCTAAGTCGAATAGTCATGAAGGGTCGCAAGCCTCGCAAAGTGTAGTGTGATGATGTTTGAATCAGTTCGTCTGCCTCATACTTCTGCTGGTTGAATACATACTGGTAATGGACTGTCAGATTATAGCTGTGGCAACGGGTCACTGCATAACCAAAGGGTTCCCACTGCAAAGTCAACTGTCGAGATCGGATGTCAACAACCTCCACATTCTGGGGACCATGCACTGGATCTGTGGACCAAACATATGATTCTTTAGATACTCTGAATCCTTTCAGGCCAATTTTCAATTAAAAATCCTTCTATTACATCACTAGAGTAACTATTACTTGTATATCTATGTACTTCAGAAAAACAGGTACTTTGGTCATATAGGCGGTTAAAATATAGGAAAGAAAATGTGAAGGAATCACAGAGTAGGGTAGCTTGCTTCCGAAGGTAAGTTCTGGGTCAACGAATGGTCAGTTATTTAGTTTATCATTACATTCTTCTACCACAAAAGATGCCACTTGGATTTCTCCCTCAAGCACCTCTGAGAGTCTTGTGGACTCTCAGAGAATACTTTAATTTATACCAGAAATGGATATAAGCTTCACCATCCTATAAAGGTTTCTACAACAATGTGTTTTGAACAAAGTCACTATGAATATTTTTAATGAATATGCAATCTGCATGTTAGTTTATTTTCTTAGAGTGATCTAAATCTTTTCTGCAGATATTTTGCTCTGGTGGACTTCCTTCTATCTTAAGGTTCTTGATCTATATGAGGAAGGGTGAAACCAATTGTTGGTCTCAGCCAGACCACTGAATCAAGGAAATCAACATAAATGTCCTTTTCATTAAGTGGTCCTTTTCTAGTTGGAAGTAACAATTGGTTTTGCTGCTTTTTTACAACATAACAATCTTATAATTTCCCAAGCAACTGAGAAAATTCGACAATAAAACATTTCTGAGAAAAAGCTCACAAGAAGTTCAAAGTAAGGTAGATTCTCCATTTGTACAATTAAAGGAGAGGAAAGAGGCTGCCCCTCTCAATTAGAGATGGATTTTTGGAAGAATGAATGAATGGTTGGTTAGTTAGTTAGTTATAAAATATTTTTACCCCACCTTTCTCCTTGAAAAGGACCCAAGACAGCTAACAGTGAAAGACAATATTTAAATGGTTGTTATAGGTTTTCAGGCTGTTTGGCCATGTTCTGGAGGTTTTTCTTCCTAACATTTCACCAGTCTCTGTGGCCGGCATCTTCAGAGGACAGGAGTTAAAACATAATTCTAACTCCTGTCCTCTGAAGATGCCGGTCACAGAGACTAGCAAAACCTTAGGAAGAAAAATCTCCACAACATGGCAAAACAGCTTAAAAAACCTACAACAACCATCAGATCCCGGCCGTGAAAGCCTTCAAGAATATAATATTTAAAACTGAAAACAATGTGTATACAACGGTAATTAAAATCATTAAAAGACAATATTTAAAAGAAGAACAATGAGTATAAAGAGGCAGATGACATCATTTAAAGTCAGTATTAAAGCTAAGGACAATAAGTATACAAATATTAAAAAGAGAAAAAAATGGCACTCTAAGAAATGCAATCAGCAATCTGATTGCTGAATTTTGGAGCCGCTGATGTTTCTTGACACTTTCCATTAGCAGCTTCACATGGAGCATGCTACAGTAATCCAGCTGGAAAGTAACTAAGGTATGTGTCACAGTAACTAGACTAGATCTCTCCAGAAATGGACATACAGTGATGCCTCGCAAGTCAAATGCCTCTCGCAACGAAAAACTCGCAAGACAAAAGCGTCTTACAGCTTTTTGTGACTCGCTAGATGAATTTTTCTAGTTTTCGCAAGGACATCTTGTGAAGCATGACCATAGAAAAATTTGTCTAGCATGAATGTGGAGAATTCCCTCCCTCCCTCCTTCCTTCTATCTCCCCCCCCGCTCTGGTTCCTGAGGGCTCTCCCTCACACCGTCCCCCTCACAGGAACAAGCGTGGGCCTTGGATTGAGGTGCCGCTGCCACCCACCCACCCCCACTTTCAGAAGCTTCCTGGGGCTTTTTCAGCAGTGAAAATGCACCTCTGAAAGCCCTGCTTTGCCGTGGGGAGTGCAAGGGGGTGCTGGGGGGTGGTGGGGGTGACAAGCACCGATCAGCTGTGAGGTGGGGAGGGTGAGGGGCTGGAGTGGAGAAGATGGCTCCCGGCCCTTTTCTGGGATGGATTCCTTGCAAGATCGTGCGCCCCTCCAATCAGCTGTGCAAAAACGGGGCGTTTGCGATGATCGCTTCCTCCCCTCATCGCAAACGCCCTGTTTTTGCACAGCTGATCGGTGGGCCTTTGCGAAGATCACATGGCCCTGCCGATCAGCTGCGCGAAAATGGGACATTTGCGATGATGGGCGGAAGCCATCATCGCAAAGTGATTTTTCCCCATAGGGAACATCGCAATGTGATCGCAAAAGGATTCGTCATTAAATGGGGTGCCCGTTAAGCAAGGCACCACTGTATCTGCTCAGATGTAACTAAACAATATCAAATCCGCATGCTTCAGTTAAACTAGTGCAGCTTTCTCATGCAGAGACTGATAGCTTTTCCAACCCCATGATTCCTGTAATACCGCAGGAAGCACAACTGAATAAGCATGTAAAGCAATTAATCAAAGAGAGATTCTTAGCATGAAATTTCTGGAAATAAAAGAAAAAAGGTGCAAACAAAAATCAATCTTATCGCTCCTTAGCTGACATTAGAAATTACTTCCTAAGCAATCCTTTCATTTCTCACACATGCTTAGCCAATCAGGTTTACAGAATGTGAGCAATAAATATTTTGACAACTAACAGACAATTAAAACTATATTTTTCTATAAAAGATAAAGCCCTTGGAGAAGAAAGGCAGAGAAATGGCACTTAATGAAGAGTCAAGGAAAGCATTTGATTTGTCATATATTTCAAACAGCTAGCCTAGCTCCTGTTTTTAGTAGCCCAAAGTACTATCTCCTTCAGAACAATAATCTGCCACTATAGTTCACATTGCAAAACTAAGGTATCATGGCACACAAAGGCTGTGATTCACCAAGGCAAATGTAGTCCACTAGACATCTATAATAGCCAGAGCTTGGACACAATGCTCTTTTTAGAGTCTCATTCCAAGAATGGAGATTCTGGGAGGTGCAGAAAGTACTGTTCATAACTTCTGGTGGTAGCCCACAAAGGGCTTAATAAATCTGTGGTATTCTCTTGCTGCCAGCAGATAATCAGCCTCTTAGTGGGACACAATGTGCTACTATTTGGCTAAATTTGGTTGGTAAAGGTAAAGGTTCCCCTTGACATTTAGTCAGTCGTGTCCGACTCTAGCGGGCATTACTCATCCCCGTTTCCAAGCCATAGAGCCAGCATTTGTCCGAAGACAGTTTCTGTTGTCACATGGCTAGCGTGACTTAGGCACGGAACGCTGTTACCTTCCCACCGAGGTGGTACCTATTTATCTACTTGCATTTGCATGCTTTCGAACTGCTAGGTTGGTGAGGAGCTGGGACAAAGTGACGGGAGCTCACTCTGTCACGTGGATTTGATCTTATGACTGCTGCAGCACAGAGGCTTCTGTGGGTTAACCCACAGCACCACCACGTCCCTTTAAATTTGGTTGAGGGTGAATCAAAATCAACCATAGAGCCCTGGGCCTAGACCCTCGTGGCACAGTGGTTAAACCGCTGTACTGCAGCTAAAACTGTGCTCACGACCTGAGGTTCAATCTCAGGTAGCCGGCTCAAGGTTAACTCAGCCTTCTATCCTTCCGAGGTCAGTAAAATGAGTACACAGCTTGCTGGGGGGGGGGGATGTGTAGCCTGCATAACTAACTTGTAAACTGCCCAAAGAGCGCTTGAAGCAGTATATGGGGCAGTATATAAGCAGCACACTTTTTTTCTTTTGCTTTAGTCCCAACTAGTTTAGGTCTATTGAATCAAAGGGAGCCAGGATGCCCAAACCCATGTAAATTCAATTGATCAATGTGTTTTGTCTAGTTGAGACTAACAATTGGATTTTAACTCTCTCTGAGCTATGGAGTACTCTGTTCATATAAGGAATTAAGTGGGGTGCCAATTAGTTAATTTGATTCATTTTATTTCATCTCATTTCTCTTCTCACCGGGACTGTGATATTGCCGTAGCCATTTGTTTATAAGAGTATACGTCTGTGAAGAGGGCTTAGCTTTAATTTTGCTCCTGTACAGCACCTTCTTTTGAAAATAATTTCTAAATAATGAATATGCATTATTTGCTATTAATTATTCATCATGATTTTGATGACAGACACCCAGACCTATAATATATTCCATGTCCAATAAATGGCACTGAGATTACCTACTCTCGGAGACCGCTATAAGCTGATGCACTTCCATCTTCTTTCAGAGGTACTTGGTTAAATGACAAGGAATCATGTTTTCCTTCACCCTTACTCAAGAAATGCTTCAATCAGTCCACAAATAATTTGTTTAACTTGTCAGAAAACTGCAGTGAGGAACAACGGGTAGCAACAATCAGCATGGGCCCCTGCTCTTCAGAAGAGACTTGACGTATTGGTCCTGCTAGCTGTTTCTCAAAGTGAACAGAACCCTGGTTTTGCCGGAGCAATTGAGGCAGCAGCCTGCTTGGTTCTTATTCCACCCAGCTCACAAACAGAAATGGGATACTCTGTCAGTTCTGTTTTCTTCTGCACACAAAATGTTTAAAATCTCACATTCCTCCATTCCCATACATATGATCCATACATTTTTTTTCAAAGAAGCACTGAAATAGTATCTGTACAGGGCATATACAGTAGGTGCTGCCATTTCCATGGGGGGGGGACCATGTTCTGGGGATGTGCATCACACAGCCGATCTCACTTGGTGGGAAACTGAGGGGGGGAATCCCTCTTTTCTTCTCACAGTAAGATTTCTCTGCGTGAAGATTTCTATCCCATTTTCACAGGGAACAGAAACATCTTGCTGGTGTAGGGGGAAATATCAGTAAGAAGTCTTGGCATGAAAAGGCTTGGAAAGTTGCTGAGTATAAATTTTAACGAAATCAAGTATTCTTCAGATTCCTAGCATGTTCTAAAAATAGACATGAAACAGTAGTTGAATACACAATGTTTTAAAACCAGACTTTTAAGAGTTAAACACTCAAAGCCTTGGGCCTGGCGAGGGGGATCTGTCAATCTGTTTCTTCCTCAGATTTCGCTCTCTATTTCTT